ATTACAATAATAATAAAAAGTTACATTTATTCTATTAATGTTACTTGTAACTTGATTTATTATTTTTTAATATTATTTGTAAAAATTATAAATTAATTTATTATATTAGTAATATTAATTATACTCAAAGGATATTTTGGTTATTCAAGCAAGAATACTTTACTTCATTTCAATGCTATAAGCTTGTAATAAAATTTTAAAATTTTTTGAGACTTGATTGAAATTATGTTATATCCAAGCCATTTTAATAAAATTCTTTCATTAAAAACTAAGGAAAAAAGTAAAATAGACGCCAATATATTTTTTTTGGTAAGCTTTTTTTATTTATGAATTTTTGGTACATAACAGGAAAACACAGTGATGACGTGTGGCTGAGATGTTCTTTTTGGGGTGTTGAAATATCATAAAAACGCAAACAATTGGTGAAAGCCCATTGGGCCCATTTTCCTAACTAACGGTAACTGGCGGTTATTTGTTTTTCTTCCGGTCCCATTTCATCACCTTGACAGTTAAAGCCATTCGCCGTTCGGGAGAAAATCATCAATCATGACTCGCAAACACCGTCAACGACAATCTCCGTCTTCACCTGAATTCTCCATTTCATCATCTGCCGCCGCCGCTGGCGGTAAGCCTCGCCGGGGAGTCCTAAGAGAGAAGAAAACGGAAGATGACAACGACGATTATTCAGAAGCTTCTGCTTCCCAATCTCCGTACGACGAATCCCAAGGAGACGAATACGAACCATTTGATAAGGACGACAACATCGAATCCGTTGCCAAGGCACACGATGACCCCTCTTCCTCACGAAAACCCACTAAATACACTCCCGAGAGCAATAACATTCAAAGAAAAAGCTCTTCAATGTCGGTTTCCAACTTGTTAAATCTCTCACCCCCCATGACTTCGTACATAAAAATTGCTCCTTTACCTATTTTTCGTGGGACTCTAACCGAATGCCCAATCGCCCATTTGAGCCGCTTCAGCAAAGTTTGCAGAGCAAACGGCGCTTCCTCTGTTGACATGTGCATGAGGATCTTCCCGGTAACGCTCGAGGAAGAAGCCGCGCTCTGGTACGACCTTAACATCGAACCGTACCCTTGTCTTACATGGGACGAGATAAAGTCGTCATTTTTAGAAGCGTACCATAGAATCGAACTAGTGGAGGAGTTAAGTTCAGAGCTTACGAGGATCAACCAAGGCGAGGGGGAAAGTGTGAGATCTTACTTTCTGAGACTGCAATGGATTTTACAGAGGTGGCCGGAACACGGGCTCTCTGAGGCATTGCTGAAAGGAGTGTTCATAGATGGATTGAGAGCAGAGTTTCAGGAATGGATTCTGCCGCAGAAACCGAATTTTCTGAACGATGCGCTGAGGCTGGCTTTCAGTTTTGAAGAGATTAGAAGCATTCGAAGCAGGAAGGAAGTGGTGAAGTGCTGTGGGTTCTGCGAGGGGATGCATGAAGAGAGGGAGTGTGAGATTAGAGAAGCAATGAGAGCGCTGTGGAGAGAGAGTCAGGGGAAACAGAGGAGTGGTAAGGAAGAGAAGGACTTTGTCCATGAGAAAGTTGAAGAAGCAACCGTTGGATTGAAGAAGAAGAAGAAGAATCAGTGCCAATGCATGAAACACCAGTGTTCCAGCAAAAGACTTCTCAGAAACATGAGCCTTGTGTCCACAACATCTTGCCCTGACGCTGCCTGATCTACAATGAGATGATATACGTACATGCTATTTTCTATCATTATAGTGTGATGTGCAACTTTCATTTTTATCCAGGAAAATTAATTTGCAAGATCTCTTTCAACTTCACGTTAGTGTATCAACTCTTGAGCAGTCTCAATTGAAGTGCTTAAGTTGCAAAATCAAGGTAGATAGTAGTAACTAGTAAGTGTGTTTGAGTTTTTTTTTTTTTTCTCCCTTTTTTGGTGGAGGGTGGGGGGTTGATTAAAAGCATTTATGATAATTACAACCGTAAGATTTGAATGATGTTTCATGACTTCATGTTTGTGTTTGTGTCGAGCATGTATGAAATATAAATTTTTATTTAATCACATTGAATACTTATATCATATAAACCATTAAAATTTAAATTAATAATTTAAATTTTATATTTCACTTAAAATTAATTAATAAATAAATAAATTTATCTTAATTATTGGTATAAATTTTAATAACTCAGATGATATAGATATTCAATATCTATCGTCACTGAATTCAAATTCATAAAACACAATGGTTGAATGATTGGTTGGTTAGATTTTACATTTGATTATTGCTCAACTTTTTTTTTTTTTGACCAAAGTATTGCTCAACCTAATTACTCCTCCTCTTCTACATTATTATATATATAAAGAGTACTGTTATATGAGGGGTGTAAAAAATGTTAAATAATTAGGCCAAATATAATTTTGATTGGAATTACAATTTGAATAGGTGTTTCACTCAAAAAAGAAATTTGAAGATGTGTTTTAAAATCAGATTAAAAATTATGAAATTTAATAAATCTATCGAATCACCTAGTTATTTTGCAAAATCAAGGTTTTGGTCTGTCTTTCACAAAATATTGCCTAGGTTAAAAATATGAATACATAATGAATTACAACCAAGGAATGTTAAATCTATGACAATTTCATAATTAAAACTATAAAAATATTAATTAAAATTGAGAGATATTCGATTTTTTTTGAAATATTTTAGAATTTAAAATATATTTAATATGATTACTTTAATTTGAAAATATTGGAAATGGTCGGCTTGAATTCATTACGATATTGATGACGAAAACTAGTTAAAAAAATAAAATAAAAAATGCATATGGAATGACCTGGGAGCTTTTGCATAGCATGTTATGAGATTAAGTAAAAGAAATAGCATATCCTTTTTTAAATTTTAAAGATGGCCTTCTTAATATTCAGATTGTAATTAATTTATAAAATTACCCTTTTTAATATTTTCTTTTTCCAAATATCAGGAGATTCAAAATGTAAGAAATCTTTAGAACAAGGACGAGAAAGACAAATATGAGAGAAAAGATGAAACTTAACACAAGAGAGACAAACACAAGATAGCAGAGCAGTGTGAGTAAACTACAATCACTATGGTGAGAGACAAATGCTAGATGAGATACATCGACGGTACTCAATAGAACAGAGCATATCGATGGGAAAATAGAGCTACAGATTTATAATTTTTTATTTTACAAATTTAGATATTTGATTCTCTATGATAAATTAAGAGTCTAGATTTTTTTGCAGACCATGTTTGATTTATTTTGGGTAATGATTATGTGTTTTTCGTATTATTAATTTGTGATACTACATTATTGATATACGACTATATATCAATTATAAATAAGTTTATGTCTGATTGTCTAGTTATGTTAATCTATGATAGTATATCAGTGATATACCATTATATATCATAGATATATAAACCACATCAACGAAAACTTATCAATTTATTTATCATTGATATATAGCCGTAGATCAATGATGTAATATTGCATATCAGTAATAAAGTTTTCTTTTCAATGTCTAATGTCCTTTTAGTAATATATGGGAAAAACAGAGAAGGAGGGAGAGGAAAAGTTCTAAGATGAAGATAGTGATCCAAGCAAATCTAAGCAAAAATTCTAATAAAGAAAAGTATTGTACGAGAGATGAATATGATGATCCAAAAAAATTAAATTAAAAAAATAATAAAAAAATATTTAAAAATAATAAATCAGAAAGAAAGCACGAACAATATGATTTTTTATGATAAAAATAAAAGATTTAATTAACGATTAATTAAATTAGATATATTTTATTTTAATAATAAATTTATTCTGATGATAAAAAATATATATCTAATTACTTTTATAAATAGGTCATATTTTAAAATATTTAGAAATTTTATCCATGATTTATGAGAATTGTATTTTTTTAAGACCATTGAATTAATTTTCTCAATAATCTGCCTAGTATGATGATTATGGCATGCATTTACTATTTAGTATCTCATTTCATATATACTAGTGCAAAATGCAAATTATAAAGTTACTCATACGCATATGGGTTAAAATGTATTTTTGATCTTTTAAGTTTATATAATATTATATTTTGGTCCCTTAATCTTATAAATTACATTTTCAGTCTTGTAATTCTAATACCGTTTAGTTTTAAATAATTATTTTTATGTCCATCATTATTATTTTAAAATATTAAACTTAATGTATCAATATTTAATAATATTTTGTTAATATTTAAAAATTTAATGTAAGAATTTTTTGTTAATGAAACTATCAGCAATAAGATTGTAGAATTGAAAAAATATTTTATAAAACTAAGGAATTAAAATAAAATCTAATGTAAAGTTATTAAAAGATTAAATAATCACCTTAGCCTGCGCATATTCATACTATAATTTGACGAGAAGAACAAGATCGCATCCTGCAGCTTGCATCCGGCCGTACGTGTTTATAATCTGCACGCAGCTCACAAGCCCCTTACTAAGTCTATGATATATAATAAAGAACGGCAGCCACGGTAGCTGGGATTTTTCTTCTTCTTGTTTTTTTTTTTTTTTTTTTGGGGTGGGGGGCCCAAAAGGTAGCTAGGATTTGATGCCTAATGTGTTTGGTCTGGTATGTAGTACTATGAAACACGATCTCTGGTTGGTGAGTATTAACTAGTTACAGTTAGAGAATACCATTAATTTCCTTCTATTATTGATCATTCTCCACAATTGATCCCAGCCAGAAAAACAAACTAACAGATCCTGGTGACCTTGGGGTGTGTCAAGCTAATTTTAATCTAAACTTCGTTTATCTCGAGAGACATGCGCCTTCACAAACATCAAAACATGACAAATGCTTTTTGACAAACTTACGATGCATACAAAGAACTCATTTCGATCAGAACCAAGCACGAACTTTGTGCCTCCTCGTCCTTTGCTCTTTATATACACAGTACAGAAGGCACAAAGTTCCTGCATCAACCAAACCCAATTACAAACACAAAAGAATGGCAGAAAAGGAAGGAGGGATTGTGAAGAAAGGGCACGATGAAGGGATGAAGATGGCGGTGTCGTTGCTGCAAGAGTACGAGCTGCCGGCGGGGCTGCTGCCGCTCGGAGAAGTGGTGGAGGTAGGGTTTGTGAAGGCCACGGGTTACATGTGGATCGTGCAGAAGAAGAAGGTGGAGCACGAGTTCAAGATGATCAGCAAGCTTGTGAGCTACGACACACAGATCACTGGGTTCGTGTCCCAGAAGAGGATCAAGAAGCTCAAGGGCGTGAAGGCCAAGGAGCTCATGCTATGGCCGCCGGTGAGCGAGATCACGGTGGATGACCAACCCACCGGCAAGATCCACTTCAAGAGTCTCGCTGGCATCACCAAGACCTTCCCTGTTGAGGCCTTCGCCGCCGGCCAGTGATTTATATTATTGTTTCCACTCGCAACACAAATTTCACTCTCTCTTTCCTCTATATGCTTCTCGCTACAATAAGAAACTAAACTGAGCTATCTCTTTTATAATTTCATGTCATTTGATTCCCATAATTATATGTGATCTTTCTGCTCTACTAGTCCTTGCTAAATTATATACTGGATGGTGCTATTACGTTGAAGAGCTTTTCTCAATCCCCAAATAATACTTAATTGATCTCAGTCTAACTATTTAATCCTTTCGTCATCCAAGTTTGCTGGCTATGTCATTTTTAAGGGATTCATTTGTGAAATTAGAGGTACTTACTTGGGGACTCATTTATATGTAGAAATGTTCATAATAAAGACTAAAATTAAATACGAGGAGTTATGATTTATTTATTCGCTCAATTAGTAAGTTGATGCCTCATCTGCCATGAACATTAATTTATAGCATTGCCAGTGCAAATTGCTTGTACTTTTATGCTTAGCTCTTCTCAATCCCAATATTACATCGACTAATTAGTAAGAGTTCACCAACTATTTTTGACCTTTTCCCGTAACGAAGTTCAAGATTTCGCACGTTCTTGAAAATATGCGAAATTGCAAATTGGCCAAATCCTTCAATACATTAAATTAGAACTCATTATCTGTAGACTTCAAAATGTTTAATGATTGAAATTATACGAATGTAAAAATTAAGAAATAATAATTTATTAATTTGCTCATCACTATAACTTAATTGCACAAATAAATTCCTAAAAATAATTATTTCCAGTTAACAACTCAGCCAGTCACTCAAAGACTCCTCTTAACAATCCGGGACAACATACTTATTATTTGAACACTCATTTATAGATCAACTATTTCAGAAACTGCAGCCATATATGAAACCAATTTTTTTAAATAAAAAAAAAAACAGAGGATCCGAGAGATAAAATGATTCCTGGATTTTTGCAGATCCGATCTAGTTTAGATAAGAAAGGTCTGAAATAGCACAGTTACAAAAAATGAATGGAGGGCATGGAAATGTGTGATTGGCGGAACACGAATTTCAAAGAGAATCCCTCAGACTCAGAAGTCAGAACGGCCATCATAAATAAAATAAAGATGATGCATCAGCATAAAGTCATCACCGAGAAGAGACACTCACTGTGTTTCAAACAACCAGCGCCTACAGTTCCCACCATTATTACCATTTGGCATCTCCATGGACGAACAAAATTAAAACACCCTCGAGCTCACTGCTCCAAAACGTGCCTCTCTGATCACATCACTGTGTGTAGGACCATTCTAAAGCGACCCATCTTACTCTCAAATACAGATGATCTGTCATCCAAAATCATATTACCCATGGTCCCAGAATCTAAAATCCCATAAAGTACTCGCTTAAAGCCATCTAATTGTAGCTATTTCCCAACCTTTACCCATGTCTCTCCCACACTTTACTCTGTCCGTGCGTTTATTTAACACAAGGGACTATAATTAAATTTCGACAGGTTCCTTTTCCCCTGCTTTTGTGTAGGTTCCTAGCCAAAGCCCAAACAACTTTCTTGTGATAAGGCTGGCAACTGGCAAGAGCATCATGCAGTGTAACCCAGAAAAAAACATAAAAGGAGAGGTAAAAAAGATACCCTTTGGATATACATCAAATCAAATATTTCAAATGTTAAGGCTAACTCTTGCTGCTATCTTCCTGAGGTTTTTCTGCGTAGAAACATTGTGAAAGAATTTGTATGCAACTGTGTGTATCACAAGAAAAACTGACGATCCTAATCTCAATTGTGGATTTAATTTGACTCGTTTGTGAATGCAAATAGTTATGAATGAATACAGAATTCAGAGGGAACTACAGCTTCTCACTGACTCCTCTAAGAACTGATGCGTTGGCCGAACCATCTCCTTCACCTTCTTTCCATTTTTATAAATTTTGAAAGTTGGGACAGTCCTTACGCCCTCGGCTCTTGCTATAGCTAAACACTCCTCCACATCAACCTTCAACAGAATTTCAAAGCGGAGAAAATCAGGCATTTGGTGGCGTCATGTCAGAAAAGTGTACTGAAGTCACCAACTTTTTCGTACCTTGATAAATTTAACAGATGGGTATCTAACGCACAGCATATTTATGAATGGGGATATTTCTTCGCATAGTTCATCCGAGGCCTCTTTGAAATGAACCACTGAAACGCCTGAAAGTTAATTTATTTTCATTAAAACAAAAGATGAAGAAGCAAAAGAAACACTGATGAATGAACCCTGTAGAGACCATAATGAAGACGCTGAAATTACCAGCAGAAGCAACGGCAGCTTTAAATTCATCCATTGAAGAGACAGCTCCCACTTCAACTTCAAGCTTTCCTGCATAGTCCTCTCCACGAGATTTTATTAAAGCTAGTTGAGCCTTACGAAGGGATTCAACAACTTCATTGTCTCCAGGGAGTACTTGTTTTAAGGTCTCATAATCTTTGGCAACTTCAGCCCATCTTTCAAGCTGTAAATTACAAATCAAAATAAGAACAAACACAAAACAAGAATTTTAAGAGCTTAAAGAGAAGCAACGAAGACACCCACTTTTGCATTTGATGCAGCTCTGCGAAAGAGGGCCTTGGTGTAATTGGGTAGAATGTTGAGAGCTTGGTTACAATCCTCAACAGATTTTTCCCATAGTCCAAGTTTAGACCAACAAACAGCTCTATTACAATACAGAACATAGTTGCAGCTGTCATATTTGAGGCCTTCCCCATAAGCAGAACAAGCTTCAGAAAATTTGCCGGAGCTAAAAAGATCATTGCCCTTTGAGCGAGATCTTGCTACCGTTTTCACAGTATTTAGAACCCTCTCAACTTCTGCGTTACTGTAATCTAACAGTCTAGCCTTTTCAGCAGCTGCTACCGCATTCTCAAACCTGAAACAACCGGCTATCTATTTATGTACTCCAAAGGATGAAGGTCATGTACGGTTTTGCATCGAAAATTATGATGTTTAACTTGTTACCTTCCCACGGCCATCTGAACCTCAGCATGTACAAAGTGCACATAGGCTTCACCGATCATACCAAAGAACTTGGTTTGAGAACAGGATAAAGGACAACCTTCCAACTTGGGAATGTTTGAGAGAGTAAACTCAGCATCCTCCAGTTGATGGAGTTTTAAATAAGCTTCCGCTTTACAAGCAACAAGCTGTAAGTATCATTATATCAGGTTAGGGAATGAAAATTAAGTCCACTGCAAGCAAGTTGAGATTTTAGGCTAAAGAATCTACCTCAGGTGAGAAATCTGCTCCAACTGCAATGGCTGCGCTTGATTCCCCAAGTGCAATCTTCCAATCGCCAATCTTTCTTCCCTCTGCACATTGGTTAATGTGTTTCTCCAATAACCTCAGCTTCTGCAGTTCAGATTGATCCACATGTTGCCCAGGTAGATAGAGGTGGCGCTTGGCATGTTCCAAACGTCCAAAGCTGTATATTGACCAAATTAATAGTGTTAAATGAGCCAACACAAAGTTTATGCCTCTAAAACTAATGAACAATCATGAGCAAGCCTAAATTATTTGCAGGTGCCTCCAGCTGCTTATGAGATGCAGGAAAGGAAAATGAGCTATCAGTTGAATATCCATGCCTCTTAGTGTAATTGAAAGAAAGAAGAAAAACAAAATACAATCCCGACATTTTCCTCGATCAAACTGCAATCTCATATGTGTGAATATAAGGTTTAAAACAGCATCCAAGGTATACTCAAAATTTCACAGTGAAGTGCATCGACTTCATTTGACAGCTATCATTGCCGATAATAAGATCAACCATTCAAAAACAAAGTCAAAGATGGAGAAGCAAAGCGAGACATACCATCAAGGAGATTAACCAAAGCAAATCCAAATAGAAAGAAATCCCGTTAATCAAAACAAGCCAGATTCATTGCATCTCACAGTTCCACACTCAGAGAGAAAGACAGGACATTTACCGCAGGCAAAGAGAAGCTAGCCTCTGATGCGCCCGGGCATAGGTAGGTTCCAACTTTACAGCCTCTTCGCACTCCTTCGCTGCCTCGGCCAGTCTCCCCAACGCCGTCAGCGCTGCCGCCCGGTTACTCCGGTAGGCTGCATTATTCGGCGATATCGAAATAGCACCATCGTACAATGACAATGCCTCCACAAAATGACCGCTTCTGTATAACTCATTCCCAGTCTTCTTCATCTCCTCCGGATCAGAATCACTCATTGCTCGTCTGACAACCCCCGAGGAATTCCCAGCCCCATTGTCGTCCACGACGTGCCCGGAATTGCCCAATTTCATGCCACCACGCATTATATTACCATGGCCATAGTTAGCTGTTCCAGAACCCAACACATCAGTTCTATTGGAAGCTCGTGACACCATACCCGATTTGAGGATCTTCCCCGAGGGACAAATATTACCAGTAGGGAGTAAATTGGTCCCTGACGTTGCACTGTTTGAGCAACTACTGCTCCCCGGACTGCTATGACTTCCGCCGGAGTAGATTAATGGGGCTCCAGCCGAAACCGATCTCCGATGACCCGGCTTGGAATTGCTAGTTGCTGAAGCGGATCGGAGGCTCTCTGAGGCATTCGGGCTGGTATCGAAATAGCCAGTAAGCTCGCCGGAATGGTGGTTCGGTTTTCCGTCCAGTCTTCTGGGCAACTTGGGAGCGTTGCTTCTTCCTGTGACTGAGCCGGAGGAGCTCGAGCTCGAGCTCGAAGTGGCGGCAGCTCCACTGCCGCTGCCAGCATTACCTGCGCCACGGATTTTCAATGGCGAAATGAACGAACCCAGATCGAGTTCTTTGAAATCGGGCTTGTTCTCTTCACAACTCATTGAATCACGGAATCGAGTCGTAAGAGAGTCATAGCCCAGTTCTTGCACAGACTTCCCAGATTGCGACATTCTCTCGGTCTTCTAATTCCGTGATTTTCTCCCCTCCGAGAGATTGAAACCCAAAATCCAGATATCACTCACCAAACACCAGCCACGGTTATAATATCACGCAAATCTCA